TATCTCACTAGATAAATAATAGGGAGGAGATCTTTCAGTAATTTCACATGCTAGCTTTTAAATGTTAATCTGCTTTCAGGTTTTGTTGTTGCTGTTTATGAAGTATTTGGCATAAATAAAATTCTTACAAAGATATGTGGCCTACCAGTCCTACGTGTTGTTTGTATAGAATAGAGTCTTTCATCCAGATATGAGCAAGCTACCAGCGCAGTCTTGGAGTCAGAGCCTCTTTGCATAGGCAATATTCTATGAATAGCTGTTCAAAGGGATTTTCTTAGTTTGTCAGTCTTCTAAATTCGACATGGATTTAAAACATTTTTTTAGTACAAGGTGTATGCACTGTCCGAGCTGCTGTTGCTCTGCTACTATCTATCTGATTAGGAAGACTTTCTCAATTGATAGTCTTTCCTCTTGTCCATCTGCTGGTCCCATTCACCCATTCAATTAGGTGTTTGCAAACAATTTTACCTCATTTGTTGCCTAATTGAAGTCTGGCAGTTTGGTTGCTGCTATGGGAGTGAGCAGAGCTGTACTTCTTAATCTAACAACCTTCTATATGGATGATGACTGATTTCTGTTTCTGGAATCACTGACAATATTTTGGTCTGACCAGTTAATGGAGGGTACAGACGGAGGGCAATTCCCCATGGTGCCAGAAGGGTAGGTGCAGACTGACACACCTGGCTTAATTGCAGTCCTACAGAGAAAAACTAATAAAGAGCCTTATTCTCAGTAGCTGGGAACCTTCAGTTGTCATTGAAGTCAGAGTTTCTTGGCACTGATGAAAAAAAATCTCATAGCTGTGAATCCTGAAGTTCTCTAATGGTGAGAACAGAGCATGTAAGTAGTTACAGAGAGCTGAAGCGCGTGACCCATATACCTTCCAGCCTTCTGCTTTGTGCCAGCTGCCCTGGGACAGAGGTGGCTCTCAGCCCTTCCCCTTGCATAGTGGTATGCCCTCCAGAAGGGTACCCTTGGCATGAGGCAGCTTGGCAGCCCGTTTCACTGGCTCCATAAAAATGCTGCTGCTGCCGACTTGCTTGTCTTGTGTTTCCTTTGTTGCCATAGGGTTGTCTCTGCCGTCATTCAGATGGAAAGCAAGGGCATGCAATATCTTTCGATGTCTTCCTGCATGTTTATAAAATGAATATATACTAACCTCCCCTGGTACTGGAAATATCTATATATTAAAGATAATTGAATAAATACCTCTCATTATGTTGAAACAAAGGAAGTCCACTAACAGGTTTCTATCTCATTGGAGCACAGGCATAGCTTGTTTCTGTCAGCCAGACTTCTTCATTGCTCTGTCTGCTGAGTTAGAAATGAGAGAGCTGCCATCATAGGCCACTTCATTTTGAAGGGTTTCACACAATGTTGAGGCTACCAGGCTAAATACACATGATTTATATAAATGAATTAGCAGTACTTAAAACACACAAACAAAACCAAACAAAACACACACCCAACCAACCAAACTTGTTCACTCTTCATGCTCTTTCTGTGAAGTATGAACAGTTTTCTGTAGCTTTATGTCAGTTGGCCTGTTAAGCAGCGCAGGTACGATGGGTACCTGTGTCACACTACAGGGGTTACAGCCTGCCGTATTCAGGGTGTGGCTATGCCAGGAGTACATCATGCAAGATACTCGCTTAACGTGCAGGGTGCTATCTAGAAGAAAGTACTGTAGAGCAGCCATTGTTCTGTGGGTTGGAACTGAATTAGATTGTCCATTTCTGTGGTGTCATTGGAAATACGAGCTAAAACCAGCAAGGCAAAACTGAAATGCCATCTAATTGGGGGGGGGGAAGACACCCAAAAATACTTACTAAAACCTTTTTTAAAAATTATTTGCTACATAGCCTTAGCAAAGTATTTGTAACAGCTTCTGATTTAATTTTGAGTATTCGGTAGCACTTCTGCACTCTTTCTGGCTTTTAAATAACTGGCTTTTCTTTCAAAGTCTGAATTTAAGCACTCTATCAAGAAGTTTGACAAGCTTGTACCTTAATTTGACTAAATGTGTGGAAGCTAGTGATTTTTTTTTCCTTTTTTCTTTTCATCCTAATAGAACTCTTGCTAAATTACATGGCTGCCTCAGCTGGGAACTTGCTGTGTTAATTTAATAAGCAGTTAGAATAATCTAGAAAAACCTGATCTTAACTGGCAGCCCACAGGGAGGATTTGGTGGAATAACTCCAGAGTTTTGCTTTGGAAGATATAGGAAACACCTGTTAGGGCAGCATATAAAGTCAAATAGATGATCCTTTCCAGTGCTACACAACTGGCTGTCAGATTGTCAGCTGTCTGGAAATGCAAGAATCCAGGTTCACCTTGCAGTTTCTTGCTGGTGATGCCAGTACAGCATTCCAGTTAATGGGAGCTAGGGTAACGAGGCTTATTTATTGCCTGTGTATGTGAGATATCTGGGTCTCTGATTTGGCAGCTGATAGTTCAAATCCTTTTATTATCTTCTGTGGATGCAGACTTTCTTCCATTGTATACCCTCTGCCCAGACTCTTTGGATAGCCTTATTTTTGTGAGGGTACTGTATAAGGACTTACAGAAACCCTTCCTATGGTCTTACAAGACTCATCTGTTAAATTAACACAGCCTCTTTCCCGTAGAGTCACACTGTGCAGCATACCTTTTTGTACCTAGAATTGTGATCCAGAACATGTTCTCCTTAGCTGAATATGCTCTGTAGGATGTGAAGAAAATAGGCAAAAAGTAAAGCTGTCTTGACTTTGAAATGAACTGTAGTATATCTGCAATGTTGGTTCAACACGCTGTACAAGTATGTATGTTCAAAACACTATGTTCTTTGTTTCTCGTTTAGTCTCTGTTGGAAAAGTTCTTGATCCCTAATGCTTCGCAAGCAGAAAGTAAAGTTTTCTATTTGAAAATGAAAGGAGACTACTACCGTTACTTGGCTGAGGTTGCTGCTGGAGATGACAAAAAAGGTATGTCAGCTTGTGGATAAACATTGTCAAATTAATTGCTTTTGCCAGTTCTAGAATAATTCTGATTTGGATGTAAATTTCTTTGGTAATAGGCTTCCTGTTTTCTGAAGAAAATCGTAGGTTGTTAGCTTTCAGATGAGTTATGAAAGTTTCCATGTACCTCTGATTTTGTAAGCAGGGAACAGATGTTCGGTCATAAAATCTTGAAATCAATTCCAGCTTATGCATGCACGCATCTAGTTTATCACTGAAGTACAGGTTTATGCATCTTCTGCCTGGCCAAGTATTAGTTTTTTATCTCTTTGTAGGGGGACAAGTCTTGTAGCTTTTTGAAGTCTTATTCCTGCTATTTCTCCTGCATTCCTACAGAATATAAAAAGTCTGCATAGGTTCAGTGAGCAAAGAGACTAGAAACCACCTGGAGAAGAAATGGATTAATAAAACTAATCTTACTGTTAGAATAATTTCTTCTGTAACCATGGTAGTTTAATGTCCAAATGTTTATTTTCTCAAGTTTCTTGTATCTTCATGTAAGCAGCTTGTCGTAATTGCAGTTAAGTTGCCTTCACCTAAATTTACTTAGAAAAGTTAACATGAGGTGGCACTTATATATTAGGTGGCTTAACTGCTGCAGTTGAAGAGACGCCCTAACAACATGCTGACTCCATACAGCGTCACCTCCAATTCAGAGCTATACGTTAAGTTTAGATACAGCTTGTTGCAAACAGTGCTAAGCTGTTTCCTGGAGCCAGTTTAGGACTGGTGGCAGCGCGCCCTGAAGAGCAGCGCACTTCAGCACAGAGCCCAGTCTGGTGGCTTCTACTAGCCTTGAGCTGTTTTCTTGCAGGCTCAGTTTAGTCTGCGAAATTATGGGATGCTTGGGAGTGTGCAGGCAATCTGAATGCGTGGACTTGGGACTCTCAGGGTTATTGGAGAAGCATTCAGCAGTGCGGCTGTTGCTCAGGAGCATTCAGCCCTTTGGTAGGACTCCGTAGGTTCCTTGCAGTGGTGTTGAACATGTGGTGCCCCTGTGGCCTTGTGCTGCTCTCAAGCTGATAAGCTCTCCCAGTACGATACAGAAAGATGTCTGTGCAACTTCACAGAAACTACGTTGAGTCTTATATGGAAGTGAAACAGACTTGGAATAATTTCAAGGGGATAGATGTGTCTGCTTTAGCTTTGTGGCGTATGTGTTATGTCCATATTACATAGGGTAGCCCAGTTTCCCCGGGATGCTGGATAAAAGAGAGTTGCATAAAGATACTGCATCTTAGTATAATAGGGCTTGATTTGGCTTCGGATGCTTACTGTGTGCCAACTGACCCAGTCTTGGTGGCTGCAGAATTGTATGTGTCACCAGTACTTTAGATCTGTTACTGCACAGAGAGTAATTATATTTTCCTTTTAGTAATCTCTATTCACATGCATAGAAGGTACAATATTTTAAGTCCCAAAGTTTCTTTTTCTGTTGAGAATTAAGTTGTAAACTCTAAAATTAGACTGTGAAAATCCTTGTTTAAAGTGGTTTTAAAGTTCATTTTTACTTAACAAAGTCTCCTGGCTGAGCAGGTTTTAGTGGGTTTCCAGATGAAGGAAGTTTTTTGAAAGCCCATCTAGCTCATAGTTGCTACAGCTCCTAAACTTAAGATTTTTATTCCCCACCTCCCCCCCGTGTTTCATCTCATAGGCTTTTCCTGTATGCTGTCTGTGACCTTGAAGAAGAGCAGTTGCTAATTATTGTTTAGGAAATAATGGCTATTTAGTTGGACAGTATTCTTTCAGCCTTTTGCAGTAAATACAGCAACAGTATAAAGCTCCCAACTCTAGGACTGGGTTTTTATCTTCATATACCAGATTGTTTATTTTCTTGACTGGGGTTTTCTTACAGCAATCTAGTGGACAAGAATCTCAAGCAGGTACCTCACCCTAGTATTTTATCCTTGAACTTTGGAACTGTGCAACACTTTGTAAAGAATTCAAGGTTAAAATCCTGCAACTTTTTTATACTGGGTGACTGATTTAAAAATTAACAGAATACATCAAATTTTGCACTAAGTTCCTTGCTCAAAAGGTAGCTGTATTTTCTCAAGGAGAAAAAAAATGCGCTTTTTTTATGTTATATTAAATAAAAATGCTTAACAAAATAAAATGCACAGCTTCATTCCTCAAAGTTACTTGTTTTTCATGTTTTGCATTTCATAAGCAGTACCATTTTCTAAGGTTTTTCCATTATGAGAAGAGTAAAATACTTCTCTCTATTTCTAAATTTAACTTCCAGTAAACCTGGTTCTTCCCAACTGTAATGTACCAACGTCTGGTCGCTTTCAAGGTATTAGGGCAGTTGTCTGATTTTTCTGAAGCACTCCGTTATTAGTGATCAGTGTAGAGAGGAGAAACGGGTGAATAATTGTGCAGTGAGCGTCCTCCCTCTTCCATGTTGAAGAGGACAACGTGATGCTTTAATTTTTGTGAATACATAAAGGTGAATAGAGATAGCATAGACATCCTGAATATTAGTGTTTAGATATTCTCAGACTTTGAGTACTTCTGACTTAAATACTAATGTGTTTTTGAGTCCTTAGCTGAAAATTCCTTCCTTTATTTTTGAATACATGTGACTGGTGCTCTTGCAGAGATCAAGCTGGATGCATTTCTGGTTTCCTCCAGCAATGTTAGGATTGGAATCCTTTTGCATCTGAATTGAATGATTTCCTGCCCACCTTTTTCTCAGATGCTATTAACAGCCTTGGAGAGTGCAGGAACAATGGTCCCTTTGTGCTCAGTGTCTCTTGCCTCCTGCAGTCATCAAGGGTATAGTCCAGCTTGTGGGCTGTGTGAGACCATGGTCTCTGGTTTGTGCAGGCACAGTCTGTTCCTAAATTCAAGTGCCTTCAGTGAGAATGGAGACTGGGCTCTTCAATTTGGGTATGCATAATATAGTTGGGGGTTTTTTTGGTTGTTTGGTTTTGCTGGGGTTTTTTCCCCCCAAGCATTTATAACTTGTACAATTGAACCAATTAAGAGACTGGCAAAAGATTAGTATCTTTAAAAAAAAAAAGAAAAAAGACCAATTGTTAATTTTTCTCCCTTACTTCAAAGTTTGTAAGTACTAGTACGTTTAAGTTAGGTAAAAATGCTTTCCATATCTGCATTGGAAATGGAATCATGTTGGAAGCTTTTAAAAGTACGTATTTAATTTGGGTTGAGGTATACCACACTTTATTATCATAGAAGCTTTAAGGTTGGAAGAGACCTCTAAGATCAAGTCCAACTGTCAACCCAACCCCACCATGTCTACTAAACCATGTCCCGAAGTGCCATGTGTACACATTTTTTTAACACCTCCAGGGATGGTGACTCCACCACCTCTCTGGGCAGCCTGTTCCAATGCCTGACCACTCTTTTGGTGAAGAAGTCTTTCCTAATATCCAATCTAAATCTCCCCTGATGCAACTTGAGACCGTTTCCTCTTGCCCTTTTGCTAGTTACTTGGGAGAAGGGACCAACACCCACCTCACTACAACCTCCTTTAAGGTTTCCAAGCATTTTAAATGGGAGTTCATAGATGACTGTTACTGAAAGGGTTCAGCATGATAGGCAAAGGTCATCAGTGTTTTCTGTGACTAAAATGTGGATCTGTAGTGCTTTGCAGCGTTTAAAGACATTGAAATTGTGGTATTACCTCAAACCTGTGTGTAGTTAAAACTTCAATTTTGTACCTTTTCGTGTAGGTGGTGGGTTTTATATTCCTTAAGTGCTACAAAACTGCTGCAAACGTTTGAAAAGACAAGTAGTCACAGGGTGGCAGGGAGAGACACAAATCTGTGATCTGGTCAGTGACAACTTCCTTTTTTTCATAATTTAAAAATGTAATTTAGTAAAATCTTCATAAAATAGTGACTTGTTAGGTAAAGTGCTCATTCACAGGCATTCACTCTTAAGATACTTTGTTCATGCAACCGTGAACACAGTCCTGATAGTATGTCTGAATATAGTATGTGAATTACTTACTTGTTGTGGGGTTTGTGTGTTTGTTTTTTCCCTAAAGGGATAGTGGAGCAATCACAACAAGCATACCAGGAAGCTTTTGAAATCAGTAAAAAGGAGATGCAGCCAACGCATCCTATCAGATTAGGTCTGGCTCTAAACTTCTCCGTGTTTTATTACGAGATTCTTAATTCCCCGGAGAAAGCCTGTTCCCTTGCAAAAACGGTAAGTGTAAGGGGGGGAGAAATTCCATTGATATTATTTGCATAACCTTTTGTTGCATGGCTAATGGAGTTGTTTGTTTTTATAACACTAGGCTTTTGATGAAGCAATTGCTGAACTTGATACATTAAGTGAAGAGTCATACAAAGACAGCACGCTAATAATGCAGTTACTGAGAGACAACTTGACAGTGAGTATCATTAAAGTTTGCCTATTGTTGATAACAGGATTGGTCTTTGTGGCACTCAGAGTTGTCATGTTCGTTCTTAGCTGTGGAGCTGTGTCTGTCATATACTTACAGATGAGTTTACATCATGTTTCTGAGCTATACCTTTTTCTGCTGCCTAGTCTTTTTTGTCTGCATGCTAATTAACGCTGTTTTCTGACATGACAAATGACCAAATTATTCAGGTTTTTTTATTCAAGGAATTTAGCATGTTTAAGTGACATAGTTTGGACTGTGACTAGCAAAGCTATTATCTTTCGTTAAGCAGTATTTGAGAATGCAGTTGCGTTTGCCTCTTGAAAACTTAGATCAGATTCCATATAGCTTATTCTGTGTGATTGCATGTGCAAGGAATAGATCCTACATGAAAACCACAAACAAAGCTAACAAGCCCATTTAAGGGCCTGTTGTTTGGGGGTTTTTTGTTTGGTTTTAATTTTGATGAAGCTGAAATTGGAATCAGTGCTAGCCAGGCTATTTCCATGGCAGTCCTAAAACAACTGTCTTAATTCTTTTTCTTTCCTTGGACTCATAGCTGTCTGTGGTGTAAGTTATGGATCAAGATTGTGTTGCTCTGTCAGTAATCAAAATCTTCATCTTGTGTGTGGGGGTTTTTAACCTACTTTGAACTTTAAAACTGGCAAAGATAAACATCTAAAGCAAATGAAACAGTAAATGTAAGCAAACATGCAATAGTGCAATTAATGGCATAGTTCATTCCCCGGTCTTCGTGGGGGGAAGGGAGATCCGCAAGCAAGATCTGAAAAAATAAGTACCATCTCTCATTGCCAGATGTAACCCCTTGTTCACGTTCTGTGTATCTGATATCAGAGATGCTTACAAAATACCTGGACTTCTTTTAAAATGACTAGAAGTCGTACAGTTGCATAAAATTCCAATTGCCATATTTTCTGCTTTTGTTTCTAACACATTATTTCCCTGTTCCTTGGAGCCTTTTCCACTAGAGTGGTAACTTAACGCTACTGAAAAAACTACTTGTGATTGTTCCAGCTGTTGCTTACAAAACAAATGGAAGAGATTTCTCAACCTCTATAATGGAGACAGATACAGGGTTGGCATTGCTCTCAATGTCTGTGTGTACTGTCCCTTTCACTGAGATTGCTCAAGAGCTGTCCTCTGAATGAGTGGTATTGAAATAGAGAATAGAAGCTGACTTTAGTTGCTAGCTTCCCAGTAAAAATAATGTAAAGCTTGTCATAGCAATTGGAAGGCAAATTGTTTCATGTAAGAGCAAAAGTTAGGCTGAGCTACCACAGTGTGAGTGTTACGGTAGCAGGCCTGATAATTGATGTGAGCTTTCCATTATAAGAGAGAAAGCTGTAGACAGCTGCAGGATTCCATATTGTTGAGTGGATGATGTGTCTTGCCTGAAATACTTAGCGTGACCTGTATGAGCGCATTGATTCTGGGGTTTTCCACAACTTCTTGAGGTAGAAAATAAATTTTGATGTATGGGGACTGACAGACTGCAATGAATTTCATAAATGTAAAAAAGGTCTGTTTTGCTAGTTACGCAAGTCTGTTACAATTTTTGACAGTGATTCAGCACGTTGATCAGTTGTATACAGGAGCAGTTTCCTCAGATCATTATTTTTACATTGAGTCTTGTATGGCTGAAGAAGAGTCTGTGTTTGTTTTCAGTGGGGACTGAAGGCAGAGAAGTGTTCAAAGGGTTGCTTAATATATCAAGTCAAAATCTGTTTTACTGGGATAATTCCTTCTTTGCTCTGTTATGAAATTGTTTTTTCTTTGAAAAACAAAACACATTAAAAAAAAGGCATCCCTTCCCTCTAGGGGTTTTTTTTCCCTGGCAGATTTGTTAAACTGTGCTTTCATATTGGTAATCTTGCTTTTGTACCAGTCAGGCCCTTTTCTATTTAATGAATAAATGTTTATATATGTACATATATATATGTGTAGAGGTGAGGATTTAGGATAGAAGCCTCTGATAAAATTCTAATTAAAAGTGTTTTTTACTAACTGTTCCTTACAAGAATAGCACTGAAGTTGAGATTAACATAATATTCTAATAATACAGCGTAGAATGTAGTGCAGGGGCTAGAAACTGGCGAGTATGCTGTTGTCTCCAGTAAATGAACTTGTTGTTTAATGCCTTCAGCAAGGAACATGTAGTGCAGATAGTGTGTTTTTAGAGCAAGAACAAGGCTACTTGTGCAAGTTTCTCTATTGTCTTGTACTCCTGGAAAGGATAAAATATTTCTGATGATGGATTTATTTTTTTTTTAGCATCTTGTGAGACCTTAGTGTAGGTAGAAAGTAGACTGGAGATAGAATTAGTTGTTCTTTTGTTTTACCACCTTATGCTATAGAGCATGGAGGATTTAGTTAATGCCGCTGTAACTCCATAAAGCGAGAAATTACAAATCATACTGGGCTGGTAATAATTTGGAAGCAGTCAGTGTGGGGAAATACTTGGTTCACAAAATTTCTTTGCCCTGGGCATTGCTCTGAACTGATGCTTAGTTTCATTAGTTGGTACTTAATCTTGATGTATGACTCCTTAGTATGATATTTTAATGGCGCTGAAAATAAGATTTTGTGCATACTGCATATTTAGCATGATTTCTTTCCTCCTTGCCCTGCCCTCCAAATTTGGAAACACTGTGTTCCAAAAGTTGCTGAAAGGGGGCACAATTGGCTGAGTAGAGCCAAGGGATAGAGATTTCACTGAAATGTTTTCGGGTTTAACTCCCCTGTCCCATTCCCCTCCCTCCCCTCCACCCCCCCCAAAAAAAAATAGAAGCCACCACAAAACTTTAGATGCCTGTTTTGAAGAAAAGGTGGCATTCACTCTAATGTTGCATGTGAGAGACCTTTACTTAAGCTCTTGTTTCAGAAAGAAGCGTAAAGCTCGCTGGAGGGGAAGGTACAAATCCACAGGAAACAGAGTAGTCTTAGTTCCTCATTCTCATGTGTCTGTTCTTACCCGTTCTTAATCGTATTTTAGTGAGCCTTGTGGATAGGAGGCTTTGGTTTTGACTGTTCACAAACTTCCTCATTAAATGCCATCCAGAGGGATCTGGACAGGCTGGA